CAATAAGAGAATTTAATGTCTTTCAAAAATAAAAAGTGGGACAACTAAAAAAAAACCCTTAATTTTTTTTTTTTGAACATTTTGACATGGAGCGGGTTTGAAATCCGCTTAGGGGAGGGGACATGCACCTCTTCAATGGCTAGTGCCATTGAGCATTTAGGGTCAGGTGAAAAAAAAAAAAAAAACCTTTAATTTAAGAAGTGGGACAATCAAATAAAAATATGGAGTGTTTTTTTTATCTTATTTTATTATTTTTTGTGAAAGTTAATAATATGTTTTTTTGTAACTTTTGAAGAGTTTTTATTAGCTTTGTGTATAGGAAAGGAGAGTCTCCCTAAAAATTTATATTTATAGGTTAAATAAATATTCCTTCCATTTATTTTTAAGAGATTTAATTTGACTTTTAAAATATAAATTTTAAATGAAAATTTAATAATCTATATAAATAAAAATTAAAATTTTTTTATTTCTATATGTAATTCTTGTTAAGTAACTTTATGTAATCCAAACAAATTTTCAATTAATATTTATATAAATTGTTAAATTTTTATCTAAAATTTATATTTTAAAAATTAAAAAATCAAATTAAACGAACAGAAACAATAATATGAATTGGGATGATGTAACATGATGAGTCCCTCCCGATGTAAATGCTTTAAGAAAGAAACCTAGAAAAATAGCAAATTCAAACAGAGATAGAATGGTACCAGGCGTAGTTAATCTGTATTGGAGGTCAGACTGCGTTCTTTCATCAGGAATTTCTTTTAATAACTGCTTTCCTTTACCAAGAATTTCTTCTAATCTAGCAGTTATATCCTTCAGCTCGGAAACCATCCTTTTTCCTCGATAATAATGCATAAACCTTGAAATCTTGTTAAACAAATTAAGGATGAGTTTCCATGGCTTGTTGGCACTGGATTGGACTTCTGCAGTTTGCTCGAATATATTGGCATTCTTTATCTCGAAAAGTATAGAAGCAGTATCATAAAGCACACTCTTCATTTCGGCAATCCATATCTTCACCATGATGTCGTTGCGATATCGCTCAGCATCTTCAGCTACATGTATCGTGTTCTCCAACAAACTTCTCAACGTAGTTAGCTCTTTAGGAGTTTGATTTGATGAATTCCGCAATTTCCATAAACAAATTCGGATATCTTGGTACATGAGCTCCAACACAGACCAGACTACTCCTGCAAAATAATAATAATAATAATAAATAAATAAATAAAAGGAGCGTGACTGATCGATCATTTTACTCTTGATTTGGCGTGTGGCAGCAGCACCTTAGAATGTATTCTAATTTCTACTTTAAAAGTGGAACACGTGGCGCTCTCTCAAAATTAATGTAATACTTCTGGGGTAGATAAATGGCCTTCATTGAAAACCCCAGTTTTTTTTTTTAATTTTTGAATGATTACAATTTAGAAATAGGAATAATTAAGGGATATTTATATAATATTACTATAGTTTATATTTTAGTACAAATTAAAGTACTAATTGCACCAACTCACTGACGTAAAAATAAATATTATATTTTTGTGGTGTGTATTTTGAGTTCAGTAAGAAATAATACATTATTTTATTGTACCTATAATTTTGATAATCGCAAAATATATTTGAATGACTAATTGATTTATTTAAATGTGTAGTTAAGTTGCTAAAAAATTGCAAGTAAACTTAGACTGCACTAAAAGTAAACCAAAAGGATTGAAAATGTGCAGAGAGCTGGCTCTTAAAAGCTGCAGCCGGCTCAATGAAATGGAAGTGCAGAGAGCCGGCTCTGGAAGTTGCGGCCGGCTCTACGTGTAAAGATTTAAGAAAAGATGTAGAGTCGGTTCTAACTTTACAGCCGATTATAAGGGTACATTTAATACATAACGGTCAACTTATTTGAAGAATAATTAATATTTTTTAAAGGCGGAATACCAAAGCCGGCTCTAGGTTTTTTGCAGCCGGCTGTGGAAGAAAACAGAATGTGTAGCAAACTCGCAAAGTCGGCTTTGCGTTTTGGAGCCCGCTCTACGGAGAAAACAGAATGTGCAGAATCCCACAAAACTGGCTGCAGAAATGGTGAGCTGGCTGTACAGAGCCGGCTCTAGGAAGTTAAGCTAGCTCTCTTGATAATCCTGCAATTCGAGTTTTGCGTCCTGCAGAGCATTAAATGACCCCCAACGGCTAACAACGGTTATTTTCGACCATGGGGTTATAAATATGATTGGTAGAAGATCTGAACGAGGTTTAGAGAGCATTGTATTAAATATCTTTACCTACCTACATGAGTTTTAACTTGAGTTTTTAATGTTTGAGAGATCTTTACTTGTAATCCTCTTCTTGTTCTATTTGTGAGTGATCTTGGGGGGTGTGATTAATCCTTCAAGAGTGATTTGTAGAGAGGATTTTTGGGGTTTAAGCGTAAATGTGTGAGATTTGAAAGAAACACCCTTCTTCTTATAAAAGAATTGAGTGGCTCCTTTAAACCACCCTTGTTGTTGTTAGTGGAGAGTGTGGAGGAAATCTTTGGTGAGTGAAGCCAAGATAGAGAATTAGGCTCTAAGTGGTTGGACCGAACCTCTATAAATTATTGAGCAAGCTCTTCTTCTTTACTCTCTTTAATTTTGGTTTTGTAATTGCAAAATGGGGAAAATTTTTAGAACTCCAATTCACCCTCCTCTTGGAGTACATTGAGTCAACATAATTAATTATTATCCAATAATTATTGCTCAGGGGAGATGATAAATAAATTACGAATTAAATAAATGATTTTTTTAATTTGTATTTTAAATGTATAGATTAAAAATCTTCAAAAAAAATAAAAAATAATATTTAATTTATTAATTATCTAATTAAATTTATTTATTTTGTATTAACTATAAAATTAATATTTATTTTTACATTTTTATATAAATTTATTACTAAAAAATGCCCTTAACCCGTGGCATTTGAACACAAATTAAAAAATCCTCAAATAAAATCTGTTTGCGGATCTTTCTAAGGAGAACCTTAACGTCTTTCAAAAGTAAAAAGTAGAACAATTAAAAAAGAACCTTAATTTAATAAGTGAGATAATC